ACCCTCAGGTGGTTTGAGGTCTGCAGTGGACGGGTCCACTACCACCAGTAGGTAGGCGTAGACTGATGTAACTGGAGCAGGGAGAGTTTTAAAGGACCAGCCTTGGATGAAACAAACCTTGCAAATAAAGTACTAGATGGGACAGTCATTGTGTCGCCCACCCCTGGAGTCTTCTCCTGTCTTTCTGAGGGCCATGAGCCAGAAATCCCTAAGGCTGGCTGTTTGCAGGGACTTGCTGCCCCCTCACTTTCTCCTCCCATTCTTTGTTTTCAGGGGGAGCTGACCATGACCAGTGACATGGAGAACTTAGAGAACAACCTGTACCTAGACACCGTGCCAGAGCCCTGGGCCAGACGAGCCTACCCTTCCACAGCAGGCCTGGCCGTCTGGTTTTTGGACCTCCTCAGCCGAATCAAGGAGTTGGAGGCTTGGGTAGGCGACTTTGCAATGCCCTCCACGGTGTGGCTGACAGGCTTCTTTAACCCCCAGTCCTTCCTGACCGCCATAATGCAGTCCATGGCCCGCAAGAACCAGTGGCCACTAGACCAGATGGCCCTGCAATGTGACGTGATGAAGAAGAATAGAGAGGATTTCAGAAGCCCTCCTCGGGAAGGAGCCTATGTCCATGGCCTCTTCATGGAAGGTGCTCGCTGGGATGCACAGGTAAATCCTGGGAGGAGCCACGGGACACCCTCTGTGGGCTGGTTAAATACACACTGCCTCCCATAAAGTGTGCTTACTAAAAGGGATATTCCTGAATCTTCTGACCTAGATCATCTTTCCTTGAGGTTGACAAGCCATTTGAGGCAACCAGGGATGGTGCAGCGAGCACAGGCTTGGCAGAGGGAGGGGAGTGGGTAAAAGCAACAGCTCTGATCCCTATTCTATGGATGAAGATGGAGCATAGCTTCCTCTGCTCAAAAGTCAAAATGCTCTAGAGGGTGGATGAGGTCACATCAGAAACTAGAACAGGATATAGCCAAAGGCTTACAATCGAAAGCATTTGCTGACAGCTGTGTCTTACTCATCTTTACCCCAGCACCTAGCATGACATCTGGCAAATAGTTACATTCAATATGCTTATGAAATGAATCAAAAAATAAAACTCAGGTAGACTCAAAGGGATTAATTTGTATATGAAAAATGTCAGCTTTTGCAACTCTCCTTGCAAAAGTGATTTAGGCCAGAAAGCAGCATCAGATGCATCCCACTTGCAGGTTGCTGAAAGAACCTGTGAGGGGAAGGCATAGAGACAGCCAGCCCTTCCCAGCCTCATCTCCTGGATCTTCTGCAGGAGCAGGCTGCTGGCTGCGCTCTGGGTCTGATCTAACATGGCTTTCCTCACGTTCTTGTCCTCAGGCTGGGGTCATTACAGAGGCCAAGCTCAAGGATCTGACACCCCCGATGCCTGTGATGTTCATCAAGGCCATTCCTGCAGACAAGCAAGATTGCCGCAGTGTCTATGCTTGTCCTGTATACAAGACATGTCAGCGGGGACCCACCTACGTATGGACTTTCAACCTGAAGACCAAGGAGAACCCATCCAAGTGGGTTCTAGCTGGAGTAGCTTTGCTTCTCCAGATTTAGCTTCCTTCGGAGCCACTGAGAAAACAAGGCCGGGCTGGAGACTGCCCAGAGGGACAAGTGGCTGAGGGTGATCACAGACACATAAAGACAAGAAATCATAAGCACTCACAATTCTGTACAATTCTTTTAGCCTTGTGCTCTGTTAAGGGATGTTTTCTTCATTTGATTACTTATAGGAATAAAGAGATAGGCTCGACTCTTCTGGGCTAGGCTTAGCTCTCTTCAGAAGAGCTGAGCATAGCCAAAAAAGCCAAACTAACCCCACAGAGCTGAGACTGAGACGTGCCTTAAAGGGACGGTGAGCTGGAAGAGTGTGGACCTAGGAGCTAGGGGAGAGGTATTTCCTAACACTGAACCTTCCCTAATAAAGTGATTTATTCTCCAACTGTGTCTGGTCCAGGCTTTGAGTTGCAGGGTCATAAATGATCCTTAAGAGCTGAAGAGAAAAAAGCCACAAGCACGAGCCCTGACGCTGTTGCAGGCACCTATGCTCCGAGCTCTGGCTCCCAGCTGCTCCACAGAGGAGCACCATTGGCATCACCCATAAATCAGTCTGCTTGTTAACAAGCTGCCCAGGTGCGTTGTATGCACACTAGGGTTTAAGAAGCATTACTCTGGACCAGGAGCCACCACACATTTCCTGTAAAGGATCATGGTAAATATTTTAGGCTTTGCAGGGCATATAGCTTGGTTGCAACTACTCAATTCTGCCACTGTAGCCCCAAAGCAGCCATAGACAATACAGAAATAAATGGGTTTGGCACAGTCCAACAAGATTTTGTCTACAAAAGCAGTGGGCCATACTTTGCTGATCACTACTCTAGAGAATATCCCACACATACATTCACACATATTCAATACATTTTATCTAACACCTACCATTTGCTAAGAACACACTGAATAATAGGCTGTTTCCTGTATCTCTGTCATCCATCAGATCATCAGGAGGGAACCAAGAAGAAACCCTTCACTTAAAGCTGTTTAACCTAGAAGTTTCCGAGAATTTACTCTGTGGAATGAGTTTTCACTGGGAGCTCAAGGAGTTCCACAGTTTTAGTGTTTTAAAGAACTCCATGGCTAGGCTTCTTTGGTAAGAAGAGTCTAGGAGGGCCCAGTAACCCTTTCAGAATCTCTGCTCCCGCATATCTTGCAGAGACTTTTCTGGATTGAGCAGGCATCAGAGTCCCATGGGAGGGCTTGTTAACAAAGAGATTGCTGGGCCCATCCTTTAGAATTTATGGTTCAGTAAGTCTAACAACTTGCCAAAGCAGCTGGTCTGGGAACCACACTTTGAGAACTCCTGATTTAAAACATAAAAAGCCAGCCCTGGCCGGTGTAGCTCAGTTGGCTGAGTGTCAGCCCATGCACTGAAAGGTAGCTGGTTAGATTCCCAGTCAGGGCACATGCCCAGGTTGGGGTTTTGGTTTGGACCTGGGTGCATGTGGGAGGCAACCGATGTTTCTCTCTCTCCCTCTCTCTCTAAAATCAATAAAAGCATTTAAGTATTTTTTTTTAAAGCATACAATCCTACAAATCTGCAGAATCTCATGCCTATTCCATCCTGATTTTCCTGCTTTCTGCCCTGTGGTTCCTGCATCACCTAAAAAGAGGCCTTATTCCTCATCTTCCTGATAGAAGGAAGTTAACAAATGCCTCTGGAATACAGGAATTCCAACTTGTTTGGTCTCTCCTCTCTTCAACCAGTAATGTAGTTCCCATTGTTTGCCAACAACTACCAGTTTCTTATCTACAGGTTGTGTTTTCAGCTCTGTCCTCCTCAGTAGCATCCTCCTCCCTGACCCTCACACCAAGGACAGAAAAATAAGAGCAGGCCAGGGGAAGACCCAGGTGGAAGGAGGGTGGAAGTCTCAGTCTCTGGAGCAGGACACTTTGGGGCACATAACTTTTTGAGACAAGGACAAGTGGGCAGGTTAGATATATGTGTTCATAAAACTCTAGATAGCACTATAAATACTATTGATTTCTTCCTAATACCTACAAACAAAATTAAATAATAAAGACATTTTTAAGGTACAGAACACTTTGGCAAAAATGATAGCCTAAGCCAGTGGTCAGCAAACTCATTAGTCAACAGAGCCAAATATCAACAGTACAACGATTGAAATTTGAGAGCCAATTTTTTTAAACTTAAACTATATAGGTAGGTACATTGTTATTAACTTAATTAGGGTACTCCTAAACTGGCCTTTGCTAAAAACGTCCTCAATCTGATTGAGGTACGTTCACTGAGGTCAACCCCTTCCAACTCTCCCATCCACACT